CTTTTTTCCTCCACAGAAGGCATTCATCATCAAGTCCTGTCTCCTGTTGCTTCTCTAAAGAGGATGTGTAAACACTGCAACCTGCCCTGTCTGCACAAACCTTAGGAGAATCTGGGACAGAGGAAACAGCAGGGAATAACAGACAGAATGGGACTGGTGATCAACTTAAAAAAAAAAAAAAGAAAGTGAAGAGAGGACTGATTGGGGATGAAGAGAGAGGGATACTGAGTGCTGATTCAGCCGCTGGTGGTTTGATGATGTGAATTGGATGAAAGGACGCAGAAGGAGGAGGCTAGACTTACAGCTAATCAATGATGAACGGAAGGACATACAGACTAAGCGAAGAAGGACAGACTGGTAAAAAACATGAACAGGACAGTAATAAAAATAACAATCTTTATGTGGAAAAGGTGCCACTGATCAGACAAAATGCTCAAAAAGTTTACTTCAGTGACACTTGACATTTTCTTTACTTAAAGACAAGAACAAAACAAAACAAATACATTTGATGAGGAAGCACTTTCTGAATCTGAAGCCATAAAAGAAAAGTCAAGATACACTGGTTCCTTAATGTACAAAACTTAAAAAGTCTTAATCACAATGTGGCTACATGAATAAAAACAAGCCCAACGTGTATCACCACACTCAGGTCTCCCACTGGGTCAAACAATTCCACACTCGACAAATGAATTAAGCTTCAGTCACACACACGTGAGAATTTACATAACTCCTTCAATACACCTGTATTCAATACAGTGGTGGCACTCAAAGCCTTTACTTAAAAGTACCAATACTACAATGTAAAAATACTCCATTGCAAGTAAAAGTCCTACTTTTAAAAGTGTACTAAAGTAAAATGTATCAGCTGCATGTACTTAAAGTATCAAAGTACTAGTACTTGGCCTGTGTGACTTATAAATAAATAAATTTTCATTACTTTCTATACAGTTAGGTAATTTAGGTAGAAGTGATTCCCAACCTAGGGCTCGGGGCCCCTCCAAAGGGTCACAGGATAAATCTGAGGGGTCGTGAGATGATCAAATCTTTTGTTTTTCTGTTAAATATTGGATAAGTTTACCTCTTTGGGACTTTTATTATGAAATAATAAAACCATATGAGAGGTTTGGAGTGTAAATTTCTCTTTGGTGTAACTGCCAGCAACTCATACACATCTTAAATGTGACACCACAAAAGAAGAAGAGTACAATATTTCCCTCTGAAATATAATGGAGTAGAAGAAGAAAGTAGCATAAAATGGAAATAATTATGTGAAGTACAAGTACTTGAGGAAATGTACCTCAGTAGTTACTTTACACCACTGAATAAATACTGAATGAAAGAGCATGTTGTTACAGATACCAGCAAAAAAACCCTGATTTTCTTGAAACTGTAAACAACAGGAACCTCTACTGACGTGTTAGTCTGTGGGCACAGGAAAATATACAGTTTCTATCATTGACAGCAATTTAACTTTGGTTTTAAAGAAGCAGAAAAAAAAGAGCGAGTACCTTTGACTAGTGTCCCAGTGATGAAGCCAAAGAAGCAGCGCAGCAGCTTGGAGATCTCTTTTTCACACTCTGCCGTGCATGCATTCATCCTCTAAACTTTGACCACCTGAACCACCGGCAGCAAAGAGAAAATATGGGGGTCTCAGAAGACAAAACCAGTCGAAAACACCCCACAACAAAAAACAAAGAGAGGCTTCATCCAAAACATTAGCCAAAAGAAAAAAGACGCTTGTGTTCAGTCACTGAGTAGGACAAATTTGAAAGCGCACACTAAAGAAACGTAAAAGTAAATACTCTCCCAGAGGATGTTTCCTCGGTCTGATGTTGCCTGTTTCCCTTTAGATAACACTTGAAAGCTTCTTTTTAAACACAGTGTCCCAGTTTGCTTACAGGTGATCACTCCCTCCTCCTTCCTCCCCCTCCTGTTCTTCTTCTCTCCTCTTTCACTTGTTTCTCTCCTCTACCCTTGTCGCCTCAGAGTATAGGTGAACTGAATCGTCCGATGTTAGGTCCGGTCTGTCCTGAAGCCGTTTTAAATGACCGACCCTGACAAACCACAACACACAACACTGACACCCGTTAACACTCCTCCTGTTTCAGCCTTCATTAGGCCACAGTGCTGCATGGTCACCGGGACACGGGACACGCCCTCTGAAGTTCAGCTCACGTTCTCTGACCGACAGAAGCTGAAATATTTGACTGTTCAGGGAAGAAACCACATCTCACTGCACCTCCGTCCTTTGTCTCTCTTATCTAATTCGAGTCATATTACCCTTTTCATATTACACACATTCATATCTCGCCACGATATGGCCTCGTTATCTGACTCTTCTTCCAATGTGTGGGAGTTACGTTTAATTCAGAGATTAAACTTTGAGTGTAGTTTCTTACTATCAAATGAAAAAAAAAGTCACCATGCCTCTCTAGAACAGATAGTCCAGGAGTGGGACTGTATGTTTGCCGTTTATATTTCTGGGTTTGGAAGGGAAATCATTAATTAGTGCTAAAACAATTATTATAACAATTACTATAATAATATAATAATTAGTTAATTGCTTAAGTTAAGCAAACATAATTAACATTTACTGGTTACTCTTCTTTCTTTTACTTTGTATTTCACTGTATATTGAATATCTGTGGGCACAGCAATCAATTTGAAGATGTCACCTTGGGCTGTGAAAAATAGTGTTGGGCATTTGTGACACTTTATAGACCAGTGCAACACGTGAGGTTGGTTAATATATTTAATGTCACAGTAACCAAAATCAGCTTTATAGGCTGACTACAAAGCACACGCCTTCCGAACCCGAACACCACGTGCTGCAAGTCAGTAAAGTAGCTGGAATACAAATGCAAAAAAAATGACCAAAAGAGATCAAGCCCAACATGTGAACATTTTATCTCTCTAAATGACAGTTTAAGTGCTGTTTTGAAGACTTTTCCGCACTGCCAGGAAGTTAATTCAGTGGAGGAATTAAAAAATCTTTCCCTTTTTTCCTCCACAGTCACATTTGCAGTGCTTTGATGTCCCGGGGCGTTTGTGCGTCGACCATGAAGTTCGAGTCTTACTGTGGACCTCTGTTGCTTGTCATCCCCTCTCTTTCTCTTTCATTATTTCCTTTGATCACTCTACCCTCACTGTGCAATAAAAGCAGAAAATGCAAAATTTAAGATACTGACTCAACATGATGGGTAATTTGTATGTATTTGAAGAACGTAAAACCCTTAATTCATTAAACACCAGACACAACATCGAGGACAGAACATCTCATTGCCAGTAGCTTCAGCTTTGGATATGATTAATCGATTTATTGGAGAAATAACTGATTGGTCGATTATGACCAGCAGACACAGCCTCCTCACTCTCAGTTTCTCCTTCTGTTAACAACAGAATCCTCTGCCCATTTTTATTTTCCACAAACACTCTGCTTCATGTTCAGCAGTCTGTCAACCAGTTATCCTGCTCATCCCTGCTCCTGTCTCGACCTCTTCACGACTAAACTAAACCACAGGAACCACTTTGACACCACCACCACCACCACCCCCACCTCTCTCTGATATGCATCTCCATCTTTGTGCTGCTATTTTTAGCTGCTGGCCATTACAGAGGTGAGGGCTTGCCCACCAGCAATGAATCTCTCTTCCCTTGGCATCCCTCAGATGAAACAGATCCCATCACAGCCCTGCTTCTCTTTCTCTGCTGTGCTGTTCTTTACGCACCGTGCTCCTGTTTCAAATCTAATAGCGTGGACAGATAAGACAAACACAACAATCACAATCAAAGCACAGTCATGGCCATGATTAGTTACATAAATGAAGATACAAAGCTGATAAAAACAGAGTAAAAGCCAGGGACAGTAATAGAGCAACAGTGCTACAGTGCATTGTTAATGTGCATCAGGGAAAGTTAAAACTACATGTGCAGCTAAGAAGAGCCTCCAAACCCCACAAACACTGATAACATGTTATTAAGGTATACAGGGACACCTTCTCCAGCAACGCCGGATCTGCATCTCCATCTGTTTAAAGTCTAAAGATGTTTTATCAGACAGCTTGCAACAGCGTTTCCATTTGAACTTTCAAATATTTAAACAGTTTCTTGTTGCCACATAGGGCCGCCAAAGTGCAAAGTTTCCTTGTGAATCTGTGAGGAAAAACATGGCAGCACTTAGTGAAGTGCTGCTGCTCGAGCCAAGGGAGGAAGAGGCGAGGAGACACCTATCTGATGCAAAGTGTGTGTGTGTGTGTGTGTGTGTGTGTGTGTGTGTGTGTGTGTGTGTGTGTGTGTGTGTGTGTGTGTGTGCATGATAAGCCACAAGGTCAGGTCTTATACGACTGGATCTAGCTCTCACATTTCAGTGACCTGCTAGAGTACCATTACATGGTACATGAGGCTGAGCTGGCCTCAGACCTTAAAGGCAGCTCACAATCACACACATCCCTCATTTGGTTTAATTAAATCTTTCTGGAGCCTGTGTTAATGTTTGTTTTTTAATTAATGGGGCCTTTATTCAAACCGTTGAAACTGTTTTCTCAACACAAAATCAGCTTCAAGGAGTTTGGGAGGAGAATACAGAAAGAGGGAGCTAGGGATAAAAGGCAGAAGTAGGGAATGAGATAAGTGTGCAAAGAAAGAAAAGAGAAGGCAGGAAGGGACAGGACAAAATAGGGAAGAAAACAAGGAAGTAGTGAAGGAAAAGCAGAGGAGGGCGAAAGTATAAATAGCAAAACAGTAGTGCAGGAGACAAGTAGGTAGGGAAGGACATGAGACGAGGCATACATCAACAGGAATAAGTAGCAAGGCAACAAGGACAGTAGGTATGAAGGAAAGCAAGAGGCAGGGAAGGGAGAGGGATAAATAAGGGAGGAAATAAGGAAAAGGAGATAAGTGAATAAGGGAACAGGACACGAGGAAGTAGAGAAGGAGAAATATAGGTAAAGAGGGAAATGGGGCGGAGAAGAACATGGAAAAGTAGGGAAGGAAACAAGGAGTCAGTGAAGGAAAAGAAGAGGCAGGGCAGGAAATGACGAGGTACGGAAGGAGGTCATGAAGGGAGGGGTAAGGACTGGAGGGAAAGAGAAGGAAACCTGATAGTTTCACAGACTGACAAATTACAGAATATAGTACTTAACATATTTCTTGCTCCTTGTGATTTCAAACAATGCTAACACTATAACTAAAACTATTAACGTTGGCTTTTATCATATATATTATTATTATTATTATTTATTATTCTTATTATTATTAACAGTGCTTTACCACCAAACTCCCAGACTTACGTTTTGAAAGGAAAGTGATAACACAGCAGTAAAAACATGTGAAGAGGCTGACATAAGAGTTGGTGAATGAATTATGTGGATTAAACTACAACACACCAGCATGTAACAACCCTAAGAGCTCAGCAGACTAGAGCTGCAACTAACGATTATTTTCATTGTCGACTAATCTCCCGACTATTTTCACGATTAATCGACTAATCGTCAAGAAATTGTGAAAAATGCTCATCACAATTTTCCAGAGCCCAAAGTGACGTCTTCAAATTGCTTCTTTGGTCCAAACAACGATCCAAAACCCATAGACTCTTCATTTACTATCATAAAAGACAAAGAATTGCAGCAATTCCTCAATTTAAAAAGATGAAACCAGCAAATTTCACTTTTTGCTTAAAAAATTAATGATTAATCGATTATCAAAATATTTGTTATGCTTTCATTCTCTCTGCAGGCAAAAGATTAAGTGTGCATGATCACAGCTGGACCACTGGGTGGAGCACTGAGACTAACCACGACCGGAGCCCAGTAAAAGCAACATACTAGATCTAGGAAGGTAGGGAAAACATCCAGGAAGTCCTAATGAGTCTTTTAGTGTGTGCATGTATATGTGTGTTCTTGAGAGGCAGAAATGGTCAGAGGCACTTAAAAACCATAGAAGAGGAAGAGTATCAGAGTATTTCAGGTCTGTGTAGGGATTAGTAATGGTGGGTCGAGGCTGTGAAAAGACATTTGATGAATGAGTGTGTGCAACTAAGTGATCTCAGGGTACTTGACCCTGAGGTCATCTGCCTGGCACAATGAGTGAGTTGTGCCCACAGGGACCTCAGGAGGCCAGGAGACGTACAGCCAGTCAATTCAGCAATCAATTCAAACACTGTTAGTCACACTTGTTGTGCATTCATCACATTGCGAGCCTCACCAACGCATCACACTCACTCGAGCTCTGTCTTTCCCCCACTCTCTCACCTTTGTCCTGTGGCTGCGTGCTGGCGATGATCCATTTGACCAGGCAGCACTTCATCAGAGCTTTCCGAGAGAACCGCGGTTTCTGCCACTTCCCAGAATCCTTAACTCTGCCTGGTGCAGGCTCGACGCCGTTGGCATCTCCCAGCAGGCTGCCATCGACCACCTTGCCATCTGCCTGGAGGGAGGGGAAGAATTGGGGAATAGGAGGGAGAGAGAGAGAGAGACAGCGTTTAAGGTGTTATGGAAATTAAACAAACCAGGCTGAAATCTTTAAATTAGGCAGGAGATTATCTGCGTGCCTGGAAAATACGATCAGCTTCTGATCTGGAGGTGTTTCAGGATCACTTCAAAAAAGGTTCAAAAAGAGTTCAAGTCAGTAGATCTGTCGTGTTTTATGGGTTTCTTTCTTATCTGAGTTTTGGAAACTTTGTGTCCAAAACTACTGTCTCCTGAAGCTTCAATTTGTGAATGCTTATTACGTATTTTAGTGCAATAATCAGTCAGAACCTGTTGTTATATAATCAGACAGACACTCCTCTGTTTAGGCCCATCACGGTTAGGAGAGAAAATTGAAAAACAACCTGTGTAAGTTAAAATAACTTTCACTAATCTTATTTGCATACTTGCCAACCGTCCAGATTTTCCTGGGACAATTATGTTTTTCACTGCCCACTCATTCTTCCCAGAGTTCATAACATTGTGTCCTTTTCATTGCATTCATTACTGTTTCTGGCACTGTACAACCTGTGTGAGCACTACATCTCTTTCTCTACTCTTTCTACCCAGACAACTAGCATGCATGTGATGCAGAAGAGAGCTTACGCCCCCCACTGCGGCCACCACCCCCTGTTTTAGAGGTCTCAAGGTTGGCAAGTATTGTTGGCCTATTTGTTTGGGATGTTTTTGTTATTTTTTTGACCAGGAAGACTAAACCAAAACAATGAGCTGAAAGAATACATTACGTGTAGCTATTTGAGCTATTGCTAATTTAAATTTCATACCTTCTTGTTTTACAAATGAATAAATCAGTGCTTTAAAAAAATCTATACAAAAAACAAGGGGAGGGCTGTAATGGTAACAGTTCAAGCACAAGGATGGATGAGCAATGGGCTGTCTGTGGCCCATCTTCAAACTTGATAGCTGTACATTTTATGTTGTGTGTGTTTTACTGTTTATTTTGAAGGTTAGCTAACTTGCCATTAGCATACTGCGTGGCTAATGTGGCTTGCAGGCTGGGCGATGTTGGATCTTGTAATGTTGTAACGTAATATTGATAATATTGATATTGACAGTCAAGAAAGAAATCGTGTGAACGATAAGCCTCAATTGAAGGAAACTAAATGATGGGTGTGTGTGCGTGTTTCTGCGGTATGTAAATGACTTGATAGACATGCCCTGAAGGTAACGATATGGCTGTGGGAATAAATTTGCTTGGCAACGTTGTTTAACTTTGACTAACGTTAGCACCCAGCTTGCTCAGTCGATAAAGCTGCAGGTAGTGGCTCACTGGGCAGTGACGTTAAATCCACAAACATACACTGCAACTACACATTACTGCACCAAAGTACTTCATTTATTATAAATGAAGTAATTTGCAAAAACAAAACAAAAACGGAAATACCACCATGTACCGCGCTGCAGGGGAAATTACTTCACTGTGACATCCCTTATACAGTATTTAGTAAACCCTAAAGGTGTACCAGGTAGAAACATTATGGAGGCTTTAACTTATGTAAGAATAATGAGGATTTGGTTTTACTAATTTACTTATAGTGATGTGATTGACTGACATTGTAATATTTTCTTAATGTCTTGATATTCAGGTTTTTTTTTTAGTGGAAGTCACAAATTGGAAAGAGGAGGCCGCGAGACAAACAGATGCAGACAGACGCAGTGTAAACACAAGAAAATGCAGTGCTACATTAGCTGTTTATTTACGGACCACTGGACCCGCAGGCATAATCACAATCATGGGCACACACACAGAGTTTTAACTAGCATCTTACGTTCCTTCTTAACGCTTCAGTTAGCTCTGTCCTGGGGTAGCTTTTAATGTCTGCACAACATCCTCACACACAGATACACAAACACACACCCATCCTATAAGGCAGAGTATATACCCATAATACTCAGACACATCTTCATATAAGCAAACACAGAACAGCGACGCAGTGCACATAGCTGTGCTCTGCCATGAATGATTGAATATCAGTCGCCGTGTTGGTGATTGAATGAATGTTGGTTTACATGAAGCGTAAACTCTGGCCTCATTACATGAAGTCTTCTCACTGTAACACTGTACCGACAGAGAGAGAATCTGGACCAATTAAAATATAGTTATAGAAAAATAAGTACATCAACCTCGGGGCATATACTACAAAAACATTTATGCTTTTTGGCACTGAACAGCAACTAGTGAGTGGCAGCTTCTCTAGGCCTGGTGAGTGACCAGAAACTGAGGAGGACACCCAATTGTAACAAAAAACGTTACTGAATTCACAGAGAATCGAAAGGAAATGCTAATTTATTCAATATTGAGAATATTGCAAGGTAATAAGCAGTAGGGGATGCTAATGCTCCAGTCATAATATCACGCATTTGTGTTTGTTTCATGTATTCATTTAAGGAAGGTTATGGCCTCTTCATTGCTCCACACAGATCTGATGTTTTATCTACATCTTCGGTGGAGCAGAAGCTTTAGTGGACATTTATGTCATTCATATCATGATTTATTTCCTGAATCTGTTTCCATTACACTTAGTCCCATTTTCTATACACCAACTTTCCCACAGTGCAATTTATTTAAATTTCCACTCTAGAGTTTTTATGTACAAATTGAAAACAAGTGGATGGAAACTTTGAGTGATCACAGCCAGGTCACTACCAATGCAGATGATCCTTAAAATCTGGATTCTTTCAGCCAGCAGGGGGCGACTCTACTGGTTGCAAGAATAAGTCTGATTTCACTGGAGTCAATAGGTGCGTTCGAGATGTCAAGTCCGACATATTCTACCTGCAGCAGCTTACTGTGAGCTGAGATCAATGACTGATCTCGCGGAATTTGCGAGACCAGGCAATAGTGTGGTTCCAACTTGGTGCAGTCGGGGAAAAGCAACTGCGGCTGCCGGACTCGGCGCCTGCAGACGCCTTGCTCCCGTGAGGTTTTCATGTCATGTGACACGGTGATGTTTTGCAGCGCCAGCGAAAGTCGGACACAATTTCTAACCAGCATGCGTTGTTTTAAGTCCAGCATGCATCACGTTAAGTCAGCTCCGCGCAGCACCGCATTAAGTCAAAAGCACCTAATGACAAAATGGGCCTACTTCTCCCTTGATTTATTCCCTCAGTAAACACTTTCCTAATGAGTTCATGTTCTTAATTCCTAGTTTAAAATCTTATTCAATACAGCTGGATGTTCATTTTCTAAATTATAGTCTCATATATAAGAAAACAGACAATAAAGTAGGGTAGCTTCATGGCATAGCTGCACATTTTTTCCATCAAAGGTTCAGTGTGTGAGATTTAGTGGCATCTAGAGCTGAGGTTCCGAATTGCAACCATCAGTCCGGTCTACCACTGCCCCCTACACTTTCAAAGTGTAGGACAGCTACTGTGGCTAACACAGCACAAAAAGTGTCTCTTCTGAGACAGCAGAGAGTAGCCAGTCAATAAATTAGGTTTCTTTAAGTAGATATATTAACAAATTACATTATATTTACTTAATTATTCAGTAAAACCATATGTTATTGTGACTTGGCCACTGACAGATAACACAAGCAATGTAAGCGAAGAGTGTGAAACACTGTCACTATTTCTACACCACAGTCCATTATAAATCACACATTAAATAAAGTTAATACAAACATTGACAAGGGAAACACATTCGTTCTCTCTGTGATTATGGACCCTTGACAAAACTGCCCCGCCAACAATAATATATTTTATAAAAATTAAAAAATACGTTCATTGCGGTGCTGAAATAGATCTCAGTCATGACAGCGTTTTTGCTTCAATCCTTCATTTGTTTTGCTTTGAAAAATTCTGAAATACATTAAAAGAGTCTGACACACCTCTGAAAGAGCCGTCAGAAATTGTGATTCCCCTAAATGTCCTTTGCCTGGAGATACTGGGGAAATTAAATAGCGTCCGTAGATTGGTGGATGCGGATCAAACACCGAAACACTGCAGCACATGCTGTAATGTGAGAAACAGTCGCTGCAGAATCAATTTGTTGAAGAGAGGGGGGAAAAATTGTCCCAAAGTAGGATCAAACACACAACATTCTAGGTGAAAGTCCTACACTTTACCAGCTGAGCTAACTGACCACCATAGCACTAGCTTTAAATATAATATAAATATATAATATAAATAATTTTTATGTTTTCATCTAGCATCTAATGGTTGAAAAAATTGCTCTGATGCAAAACTTATTTGTCGACGCCTGCTGGATATTATTACATCATCTTCTTCTTCTAACATACATATTCAACATAGTGGTGAGTGTCTACACTGCCTGAATTCTACCAGAAGTAGAACAAGAAGAAGAACGTAGTGACGAAACGCGCACTGTTTGTCTGTTTTCAGCTACTGTAGAAACATGACAATGCAACATGGTGACTTCCATGGAAGGGGGGACCCGGGGTTATGGAGATATAAATGTCTCATTCTAAGGTAATAAAAACATAACGTTATATTATATAAGGTCTTTATACATCACTGAAAACATAGTTATGGATCTTATATTGCATTTCTGTTGATAGATCCTCAGACATACAGACACACTGAACCTTTAAGTACATTTAGTTTCAATCCTGTTTTTCTCTAGCCAAAATTGGCCTAATTAATATCACATTTAACATGAATTATGGATGCACCCTACTAATTAATCAAGCTAGCTCCACCCTCTTGTACGAATATGGTCACTTCTGCTCAAAAAAAATGCCAAACTTGAGGCTTCAAAAGTAAAGTCCACATATGTCACATTGGCTACATTCATTTATTTTATACAGTCAATGGTGGACACAGGCAAATATGGAAACTCAGCGGAAAAAAAACTTCTGCCAACAACAAGAGGTAGAAACACAGCAACACTTCCTGCATCATTTTTACTAAAATAAAACTCAAATACGAGGGGGTTCAACACACTATCAGACCAAATCAAAATTCAATATTTAC